AAAGCAAAGCTGTATGCTAAAATAAGACTATGTATTCATCATCATCGTAAGGTTGTCAGTCCTAAGACTGGTTGGACACGCACCTCCACTCTTTCTTGTCGTGAGCTAATCTTCGCTAAAACTAGAACATCCCACATCCTAGGTCTACTTTTACCCCTCCTAACTCCTGTTTCTGCCTCTAATTTGTCTCTGACTAGCCCTACATGCCTGAGAAGGTGTCCTACCAACCTATCTCGCCTACTTCTTATTGATTTCCATAGTCATCTGTTCTATTCTTTCTAATATCTCTTCATTTCTAACCTTCTCTTTCTACGGTATCGTTGTCATTCGCCTGTAACACCACATTTCGAACGCTTCTAACCTATGGTTTCGCTCTGCTGCTGTAGCTTAGTGGTAGAATACCAGTACGTAAAACCAGCGGTCTGGGTTCGATTCCCGGCGGGGGAGTGACAACAGCAATAATTTTTCTTTATTAGTTTGAGGTTATCTGTAATGGGTAACATATTAATTCACTATATTAAAATGAATTAACGCTACAAAAACGCAAAGTATCTCCTTAAATTAAGACTTCAAGTAAATTTTGATTAACTCTCTAATTCTAAATTTTGTAATGAGTTTTAGTTTGCCCACGTTTATATAACCGGTTAGTGAATTGTTCTTCCATTTAGTGACGAGGAGATTAAGTAATAATTGCAAATATCACAACGCTGTGCAAGAAAACTGTAATGGGCGGGCAGGTATTATAGTAAGTACGTTCTCTTCCATCATCTTTAATAGGTAAATTATTGAAATGTCTAAATTGAATTTAGAATCCTTTTCGATCTATTAAATCTATTGTAGACATTCTATTAATCGGTCGGCTAAACAAAATTAATTCACATACGTACGTATATATGTACATGAGTTATAATAACGACAAATATTGTGACATGTGTGCATGCTGACGGACATTTGTCCGCAATGGCGCATTAATATATGTATATATACATATATCCATAAATTAATAGATAATTATATCCGCATATAGGAATACCTATGTAGAGTTATGTACCTGCCATTGCTTCGTTTATATGATTTAGCGAACATACGAGACCTGTTCAAAAAGTATCGCAACTTACGAAATTACCACGGGTTACGTATATTCCATTTTCGATTTTTT